TGAGAACCAACCTTCTTTTTCCACGTCTTGTTCAAGAGGAACTAACACTCCATCATCTTCATCTCTGTAGCCATAATAGTCTGCGTCAACATCTTTGTACAACTCTCCTCTAGTTTTCCTTGGTGGAGCGGGTGCTATGATACAATAATCAGGTACTCTCAATTTTAAAATTGTCCTTTCCATAAAAATCCTTTATACGGTCAAATCTTTTTTGGACGCAAACCTTTGGGAGCAGCACTAAGTGTCCATCTAAGAGTAATTTCTGCCTTATACAAGTACAGTGTAACCTCTCCTTATGGACACCTCTCTATTACAGACAGTTTGAAATATCAAAAATCATACATTCCCTATGAAATAAGAACCTGGTAAATTATTTTTTTAATGAACTACTTTACTGTTTAATAAACTTACGTTCTTGTTCAAACAGCTCTCTAACTCCAGGAAGATCTTTTGCCGCTCCAAAATACCTTAATGTAACAAAAAAAATTGTTTTAGTTTTAGATCAGTTTTGATTTTAGAGGAGAATGGTTTTTGGTTAAAGCGAACATATGTGATTTGCATGGTTAACTAGAAACACCAAAGATTCTTAGTAAGGAGGTGGTATCCTTTGAATTTTGATTTTGATACGTCTTAAAGCCAAACTGGCACCTAGCTTCACTCTTTATTGCAACATAAGAAACAGAAGTTATACATCAGTAACAATAGCTTCAGTAACTTACAGCAATGCACTGGAGGATAGTGCGGGATTGAAAAACAGTCATATTTGGCATTCACTATCTTATTTTTTATTTATTTATTTTTGTTTTTCAGCCTTTGCTTTGAAAATGCATGAATTAATAATTTTTATTATAAGGGTTATTGCATTCATCATCATCAACATCATCATCATCATATCATCAGGCCTGTTCAGTCAGGGTACTCTGAACCACACATTACCGTAAAATTCCGAAAATAAGCCCCTCCATGTATAAGCTCCTCCAAATATAAGCCCCCTAAACCAGTAACGCAAAAAACCCTCCATTAAATCGCCCCTCCAAATATAAGCCCCGCGGGGGCTTGTACTTAGAAAATTGCCCTCAAATGCAAAGTAAAACAAAGCAAAAACGGTAAATTTACTTCCAACTATAAGGCTAGCCCAATTGATTTTGAAACGCAAATTTCCCTCTGTAGATAAGCCCCTCCAAATATAAGCCCCTCAAAAAGGGCCTCTAAAAAATATAAGCCCCACGGCTTATTTTCGGAATTTTACAGTATCTTATTCCTCACATTCCGGGCCGACATAGCATCATAACGGAGAGGACTGCTTCTTCATTCATTGCATGAGAAATGGATGGCAATGTACCAGGGCCAGTTAAAACACTCACTTGTATCCCCTGTTCCCAGGAACTTCTTTCCCTTCATGATCAAGCATCTTGGGGCCAATTTTCTGCAACAAAGTGTTGTCATAGTTTTTTAACACCATTTTAGGTCTATAATTGCAGATGTTAAATTAATATTGTTTTAGTGAACCAATATTAAAAATGATTTTTTTCAACATTATATAATATGCCCTGTAAAATCATTTATTTTTTAATAAAAAATAATTGTTCTTTTTTTGTCTTATTTAATAGCATTACTAGTCAAATTTTTGTCAACAAACTAGCAAAATCTACAGCCATTTGAGTGGAAAAGGGGCAAGGAAGCTTTCTGGGGTGTCTATTTTTTCAGGATAAACAAAAAGACTTTCAGTCAAATCTTGTACTTGTAGTCATTCTCCTCCTTGAATCTTAAGGTCTCCGTTGGCTTCTCAGGAGTAACAAAAAAAATGCTTGACAGAGGAGGTCTGCAGTTTTGTGGTAATGTTTTTGAAAATCTAGCTAGACATGTATGTACTAGAATAATGTCTTTCTGGCTTACCCCATAATCTGGGCCTCCCAATTCCTTGATACGATCTTCCCAATGACGTTTCTCTCTTAGAAGTTTGTTAATTTCATCATTGAGGTCACGTATTCTAAATTCACCGAGACCAGCTGGGAAACAAGTTATCAAAAAAAAAAAAAACAAGTTAGTGATTTTACAAACATGACAGAACTTCTATACTCATCTGCCCATCTGGAGCCCTGAAAACCACCTTATTGCTACACTGCTGGATTCTTCAAGGTAGCCCAACATCTAACAAAAATGGCCTGCCAAACGTTTTTAAGTGAACACCTTTGAAAAATCTATTATGTCAGAGATTAACAGAGGACTGTTACCCACCAAAGTTGACCTCTTGATGAGAATACTTTTGTCATGGTTTATCTGTATTTTAATCACTATGTGGATGACAACATTTACTGTCTAAATGTAATGAAACCCTTACCATTTTGAATCTGGGCAACTTTTTTAGCAACTTCTCTTACAATCTGTTGAACAGAAACAAGGGTTAGGGAACACGTTTAGCTACACAATACTGTCAGAATGCTCAAGCTTTGGGATTTCTGCAATTAAACGGTTAAAGGTTAAGAGAACATTGTGACTC